GAAATCCTAACCTTGGAAATAAAAGTCTCACATTGTAAAAATGTGTTGATATAATTTTTGCTTCAATAAGGAGAGATCATTAGAAGTAATTAAACGTAATGAAAGACGACTGGACTCGAGTAATGATGTCGGTATTGAGTCTTAGAGCGTGGGAGAGTGGGAATGATGGAAAGAATATACTAACAGAGAAACGCCTGGGGAAGCAGACCGATGACAGAACATGATCTCCTTCTAATCTTCTGTACTGAACACATGCATAAACGTTATTTAGGAGGTGAATGCTTTTCAAGTTTCATTAAAAAACAAATCAGCATCTTCCATACAAAATCCAGCAACCATAGCATCTGTTAGCTACTTTAACAATTGCAGGAAGGTTTTTAGTGCAGACCAGTTTCACAGAGTGATATCCAGCAATCGGATGTAATGGATTTTCCAAGTAATGACTCATGACTAACCAGAACAAAATCTGGAAATACTCAGATATTTGGCCTTCCTGGCAGAACAAAGAAACATCATTAAAAATGGTGACATGCCATTAGTGAGATGAAATTATTGGCACGTCTTTTAGCTTTACCAGCAACAATGTTTTGAGGGTAAATTCACTTGAAGAGAAAAGCGGAAAATGCAAACATTTGTCTTCTCATTTCTCAGCACAAATGCTCTGAAGAATAACATCCGGCACCTTCTTTTGTTTCTGATTGGATATGATGGACAAAAGCAGTGTTTGTTATTTTCATTCTAATGTGGATGTGGATCAGTGGCCGTCCATCTGTGCCAATAGATCCACCTTTGTGCTCATTAACCATTCGAAATGTGATCACGGTGCACCATGTTACAAAGTCAGCAGCACACTAAAGTTAGGCTAGGTTAGAGTGCAGTTGTTTTTCCATAAGCTCTGCTTTTCACAGATCACACAATTGTTCTTGGCTCATGAACCATAACATCACGAATGATCACATGCTCCATCACCTTCTGATGGGGAGACAGAGGATGGAAAAGTAACATCAGAGATTTGGGGAAACAAATCGTTCAGGCGACCCGACCAGCAGCAGCAGTTTCAGCAAGACTCAACAAGCCTAAGAATCTTTACACAGAAGCAACTCAGGCATAGTGATGAGTGAAAGCTGTGTTTTATGTGGTTGATAAATGTGCTGAATAGTATTTAGTATTTTAGTATTTATTTATTTATTGTCATTGTCAAGAACAATGAAATTGCGTTTGGGGCTTCCATACAACCCCAAAAAAAGAAGAAAATAATAAATACCCCTTAAAACCCAAGTGTACATATTTAACCCAGTGTGACTCCAATGCAATAAGACAATCCTTAGCAATAATGTTCGTAGAAATTCAGACAAAGACCTGAGAAACATGACAAAATACAACAATGCAACCCATTCAATATTATTGTACTGTGAGATATGATATCAGATATGATAGTTATCTATTTAAGAAAGAGGGGGGGGGGGGGGGGCAGGAGGGGGAAGAGAATAAAGATATGATGCACCAATGCAGACCAGTTCATTGCTATTAAGAAGTTGGATATGGTTATTGTCCGTGAGAGGGGGGCAGAGAGTTCAGGAGCCTCACAGCCTGTGGATACAGGCTGTTGGCCAGTCTGGATGTTCTGGCCTGTATAGACCTGTACCTTCTCCCTGAGGGCAGCAGATGGAAAAGGTGGCGCGCAGGGTGATGTTGGTCCCGCAGGATACTGTGCACCCTCCTCAGACAGCGAGTGGGGAAGATATTACTGATCTCTGGCAGACTTGTTCCAATAATTCTGCCAGCTTCTTTCACCACCCGCTGGAGTGCTTGCTGATCGGCCTTGGTGCAGCTGGGGAACCACACTAGAAATCCATACATCAGAACGCTGCTGATGGCACAGTTGTAGAAGTTCAACATCAGAGATCTGGGAATGTGTGCGCTCCGCAGTCTCCTCAGGTAGTAGAGGCGCTGTTGGGCCTTCCGTACAACTGAGGTGATATGGTTGCCCCAGGACAGGTCCTCGGTCACAGTTACCCCCAAGAATTTAAAACTGCTCACCCTCTCCACCGCCTCACTGCCAATGAAGAGAGGCAGATGGTTGTTATGACCCCTCTTCCGGAAATCTACAATGATCTCCTTGGTCTTTTTGGTGTTTAAGACCAAGTTATTGTCGTGGCACCATGACTCTAGTTGTTGCACCTCTGTCCTATAGTTTGTCTCATCATTGTTGGATATAAGTCCGAGCACTGTAGTGTCATCTGCAAACTTAACAATGAGATTGGACGCGCAGGAGGAAATACAGTCATGGGTGAAGAGAGTGTATAGCAGAGGGCTCAGAACACACCCCTGAGGGGCACCGGTGTTGACCACAAGGGTGGAAGAGGTGTTCTTACCCACTCTGACACTCTGTCTACGGTTAGTGAGGAAGTCCACAATCCAGTTGCACAGAGAGGAGTTAAGTCCCAGTTGGTGGAGTTTGGGACGGAGTTTGTATGGCCGGATGGTATTAAAAGCCGAGCTGTAGTCTACAAAGAGGAGCCGTGCATAGGTGTTCCTGTGTTCCAAGTGCTTCAGTAATGTGTGCAGCACTGTGGCGATCGCATCCTCGGTTGACCGGTTCTCCCTGTATGCAAACTGGTGCGAGTCCAGGGATGGTGGAAAAGCAGCTCTGATGTGTTTAATGACCAGTCTCTCCAGGCATTTGGCGGGAATGGGGGTGAGTGCCACAGGTCTGTGTGTGTGTGAATGAGGCATGTAGTAGACGGTCTTTTGAGGGCTCAATTAGGTACAAACACAGAGAAGATTCATGGATGTAATGAAGGAGGACATGTAGATGGTTGGTGTGACAGAGGAAGATGCTAAGGACCCAGTGAGATTACTAATCTTACTTTGTTATGCTTTGCTAGGAAAGGGTAATTTTTTGCTAGGAAGTCAGCTGTTAAACAGACGATTATTCACATCTCTGCGCCAAATTTAAACATCCTCTGTCTGTGATTCATTGTGTTTCCCCTTGGTTAACAAAGGCTGCAGATTCCAAGATGTATTCTTCAGCACATTTTTTTACCATATAAAGTAATCCAATGGACCTTTTGGTAGGCCAGCTCTGGGCTCTGTGCCTCATCACCCCTGACACTGAATTATTGTTTCTACACAAAAAGCACGCATTAAATCTGAAAAGGACTTTCACTCTCAGATATTCTGTGAGAATAGAGGAGACACCAGGTCCAGAGCTGGCTCGATCCATGCAGGACATTTGCATTAACAAGCACCAACAAGCCGAGACACACAGCTGGCTAATAAAACTGCAAAGGGCCTGAAATCAATGTATTTTACCGGAGTATGAAACATCAGACATGTCTATGAAGGTGAGCTGCCAGGTGAGGTGAGCTGTTCTACTGAAAGTGCTTTCAGCAGAATAACAGCACCTTTGGTGAACTGCAGCCATGCTGGCAACTGTGACATCCTGATAGTTTTGATGTGCAAGCAGCTCTGAAGCAGTGCTGAGTTAGCAAATAATGGCACAGCTCCTGTGATGAAGTGATAAAAATGTGCAGCTGCACTCTTGAAAGAGACAACATCAGTCTGAACCTGACACAGTGCATCGATCACTGATTACAGCCCGCAGTCTACGATCAGGAGACAAAGACGCATTTTCACATATTTGCATCGTCGTTTGAGGGTTTTTGTGTTGCATTTGAGTTTCAGGCTTTTCCGATTCCCTGTCGCAAATTTGTGTAACATTGAACTTTAGTTTCAGGTTTATTATTTTAATTCTTGTTCCTGATTAGTTTTAAATGGAGTTTGGGTGCAGAGGAGTGATAGTGGATAGAGAAGATTCATGGATGCTGTGAAGAAGGACACACAGTGTGACAGAGGACGATGGCAGGGATAACCAAAAAGAAGAAGAGCCAGCATCTTCACTTCCTGACTCTGAGTCAGCCTCCTTTTAGCCCATCTCCCCAGTTCATAACATAGGCCGTCATCTCTCCTTGCCCATTGCCGGCATGCCACAACCTCTCCACCATCTTAGCCTGGCCCTGAACTTGTGGAGGCCTGCTGTTCGCGAGCCCATTGGTGCCGACTCAGCATCTGTTGCTGTGCAGCCTTAGCACGAGATAAGCACAGGGCCTGCTTCTCTGCTCCGCCCCAACATCCCGCTGCTCTGAGAAGCATCAGCAGTCAGGGCCTCTGAACTTTTACATGTTTAAACTTTTGAATTCCGGTTTGTTTTTTGTTTTATCCTGTTTGAATTCACTGTTTCTTCTAGTGTTTTTAGTTCCCTCTGTGACTAAGTACTTTTACCATGAGGTCTTCTCCAGTGTTAGATGTTTATTTCCTGTTCCACTTAAGAGGTTAGTCTTCTTTCATGTCTTACGTTAGTTTTTCCTTGTTCCTTATGATCTTCTGCTCCTGATTTTGATCTGTGTGTAATTATTCTAACTTGTGTCTCATTCACCTCCAGTCATTCCCTAATTAGTCCTTGGTGTTTATATATGTCCCACTGTTCACTTTCTATGATCTGTTGCTGTGTGTGTTTAATCCTTGCACATCTGTGTGGGTTTCCATCTGAAATGGCTCTTGACACTAAATTCAATCAAAAATTAACAATTATCCAACAAAATACAAACAAAAATAAAAAAACATTTATGGTCCAGTTGATTTTTATCCATTAAAGAAAATTTCAAAAATCACTTCCCTTCAGTTTTCTTCACAGATCACATTTGGATGAGCTCTTGGTTATCACGTGACCAGATGCGTTTGGCACATATTTATTCAAACCATGTTCAAAGAGTAAAGGCAGGACAGAACAAACACACAACAAAGCAAAACAGGACCACGTTCACTTATTTACACACACTTTGACATTTGAGGTGTCAGAAAAAGACACATCCTGCACAAACAAGTTTTTAACACATTTAGAACAGGAGATGATTACGGCAGGAAGCTGTGGTCACTGTGACGCTAACAAAAAGTAGAAAGCATGCGGCACCCCCCAGGTTTATCAGCCTGTCTGTCAGTGCACCAGCAGTATGGAGATAGCAACACTGTGTGCTGTTATTGGTGAGTAAAGTGTGTTGGAGCGCTCTCATTTAGTGCAAAAGCACTAACTGTCTTCTTCTTTATGAGCAGAATCTATATGTGTGTTATATATGTTTTATGTTATGTATATTACATGTTATATTATACATCATATTTTTCAATGGCTCATAAATGTTACTCTGCATATCATAGATTTTCAGTTATCTTATTGTTGCAACCAGAATTTATCAATTAAAGATGCACTCATTGTTGTCTTGAAGCTGCCATGTAATTACAAGGTTGCTATAAGTAACAGCAAATGATTGTTGTATTGTTTAGTAACGGCTCAGTAACTTACTGCATGTAACTACTAAGTAATTGCCAGAATTACAAAGTGTATTTTAATTTGTGTGTTTAGGTTTTTCTTGACTGCTCATTTTAGTTTCGGAGCTGATTGCTTGTCTCAGGTTAGATTTGATCACATTAAGTATTATTATTTCAAAGGTTGTGTGGGTAAGTATTTGTCAGGGTCAAAAATTTTAAAGTTCAGAAAAACAATTACAATACAAAACTGTGATTTTTGAATGCAGGCGAGTCACAGTCATGCACGCGAATAATCTCAGTAAACCTGCACGTCAAAGCCTGTTTAGGCTTGTTGCCATGGCAAATTTGTCCAAAAAAGCTTAAGTTTAAAAACATTTCATGTGTATTTTCTAAATTTTAAAGTTATTTTTTAAGCACATAATATCATTTTGTTGGTTTCTTTGTTTTGGTCAAGTTTAATTTCCTTTAATTTCCTTTTTTCAAAATTTCTGTTATCTATTTTTTCCCACATTTAATTTCATTTGTTGTTGTTGTTTCTTTTGGGACAAAAAGTAAAAAACTCACAACTAATAAAAATCAAAAGTCAGAATTTCATTGTTAAAGGTCAAGGGCAGTCTGTCTTTGCTATTGTGTGTTCCCACTAACGGCATTTAGTGTGATGTGTTGCTCCTCTATCTGAGATCGTGGGTGGCACATGAAGCTTCGATTGCATCCAGTCTACGTTTGCTACTGTAGCTCACTGCAGCCGCTAACCGCATCACATTGTAAACAGGTAGCCATTCTGCCTTAGGCCGGGGTTTCATTACAGCCACATGCTAAACAGACACATTTTAATCCAAATAACATCCGTAGTGAAACAGCATCTAAAGCAGGCGTCTATGCATCGCCCAGCTTTCACGGTCGCTCCTTTCTTCAAGCGCATTAACAACATAAACTTACGTTTGCCATCATTTCTCTTTTTGTTTTGCAGCTTCACTCAGAATCATTCCTAACAGATCCCAGTTCTTCCAGTATGAGTCCGTCTCCATAAGCTGTGGGGGGCAGGAAAACTCTTCAGAGTGGAGAGTTAAAAGGAGCACGTCCTTATACATAAACACAACATGTCCCTCATCCTCAAATGGAATAGGTGAATCTCACTGCGACATCAGTGATCTTTATCCAGCAGACACTGGAGTTTACTGGTGTGAGTCTGCAGCAGGACAGTGCTCCAATGCTGTCAACATCACTGTGGCAGGTGAGCTTTGATCAACAAATCATGAGTTGCAGCCAGTAGTGACTCAAAGTACCTGAAAAGCTTCTACACGTTTACAGATAACATGAACATATCATGAAGAAGCAGCTCTTTTTATGCCAAGTAAGCAGTGTTGGTCTGCAAAAAGTAAACAGGATGGTTTAATTCACTAAAAAACCCGCAACATTCACCATCTGAAGTTTGATCATATCACACTGTAATCATACAAATTTGATTTAACTCATGAACTATTCTACACAGGCTTCAACTGACTCCAGTTATTTGTTCGAATGAAAGTCCTGTTATCTGCCAGCAAACATCCTGCCAGCAAGCAGATAACCACTTCAGTCTCGGCTAAAAACAAAGCAAAATTTTAAAATGACACTAAACAAAAGAAAAGCTTTTAAATAGAATTGCATCAGAAACATAACTCGATGCTGCAAGGGGAGTCTGAACTAAAAGTTTTATGTTTCAGCTGGTTCTGTGATCCTGGAAGGTCCTGTCCATCCTGTGACGGAGGGAGACACTGTAATTCTGCACTGTAGATACAATGCAGGCTCATCCTCCAATTTCACTTCTACTTTCTATAAAAATGATGATCTCATTGGGAGCAGCTCTACAGGAAACATGACCATCCACAGGGTTTCCAAATCAGATGAAGGCCTCTACAAGTGTAACATCACTGGAGTTGGACAATCACCAGACAGCTCGCTGGTGGTTATTTCTGCAGGTGAGCAGAAAACATAAAGAGTTATAACATCTTACTGTGAGCATGATGGATTCATACTAGAATCCAGATATGGTTGTTTTACATGACAAAGTTCTACTTTTGTGCTTCTAATCTTTCTATTGTAATTCATTTTAAAGTGGGAGGGTGTTACCTGGGAGGGATGCTATTATGCATTTTTGTGCAACCACCAAAATATGGTTATTTTTCCAATTTTACCCCGTAAGTATTGATCAAATCTGAGCATAAGTACATCCAGACACCTTACCCACACAACATTAGTTTAGTTTGGTTAAAAAGTGTAAAGGAAGGACTTTTCCTTCTTCAACTGTTCATTCAGTTCCAAAATATGCACAAGTTTTAAAGACCCGAATCCCCTTTTTATGTTTGTCTTTATAAAAAATTGTTAGTTAGCAATCTTTAGGACTTGTTTAATAATGAGAGGAAAACTGCTGACTGAGTTCAAATGATGGATTTGTATCAACCACCAACCACTTGAGTGTTTTTCTATAGAAACTGTTTACTTTAAAGGACTGTTACAACATCATGAGAAATGCACTTGTTTGATGTCCTACCTGAAGGGTAGATCCTGTGTGCTTTCAGCCCAGTTTAGCACAAAAAACCCTGCTGGACGTTTATACAAAGGCCTGTGGGTCTGCATTTAGGCCAATGTGTGGTATTTTTGTTTTGAAGCAGGGAGTCCTGACTCGTCGCCTGATTCTTCCCCCCGAGTGATTCTTCCTGTGGTGGGTGTCTGCCTCATGCTGATTTTGCTGATGCTGCTCTGCCTCTGGAGGAGCCACAAAGGTCAGCATGTTTTGATGTAAATAAAAAAAAGAAATGACATTTTACATCCTGTTGCTACAATGTCACTTTCACCGTGTGTAGAATTCCTTTCTCTTGGTCGCGGTTAAAAAAACATCCCCCAAGAATAAAACTAAAATCTGCTGCACTCACACGAGACTCCGGTCCTACCTCCTCCTACTCTGTTCATTTCATGAAGGCAATACTACAGATACATCCAGGTCATTTAAATCAAACCTTCTTAATCCTGTAACACTGACACTTTTAGAGCAGTCAGCCTTTGATTTCTCCAAACATTCCTGTGACTGTTTGGATTGTTTGACTGTAGAGAGACATTTAATGATTCGTCATCTGCATAAGTGTGGTGGCTAATACTAAACAATCTGCTCGAGATAGCATTTCTGTAGAAAACAGCAGGACAAAGATAGAGCCATGACAAATACTGTGAACAAAATCTGGAACAGAGGACGCAGGGGTGAGCAATTCATTTTCCAAATGGACACAAACTGGTGGTGATAAGAGTTGGGATCGCAGCACATGGTCACTCCTCCTTCAGCCTTGTTCTGTTGGCGTTTTCTTCCTGTTGAAAGGGAGTTTTTTTTTCTTGCCACAGTTGCAAGTGTTTACTGATAGTGGGACTCATTTAACTGTTGAATAGTGTAGACTTGTCTTTACCTTACGACATGAAGTGCCTTTATGTGCCTGTTGTTGTTTTTGATGCTGTAAAAATAAACCTTAATTTAACTGAAAATGAATCAATGCTGCCATAGTGATTTGCACTGTTGCCTCACAGCAAGAAGGTCCTGAGTTCGAGTCCACCAGCTGGCCAGGGCCTTTCTGGGTACGCCAGCTTCCTCACGCAGTCCAAAGACATGCAGTTAGGTTAAATGGCAATTCTCAATTGCCAGTTAATTGTGAACTGCCCATGTAAATACCAATCTGGTTGTGTTAGCTCTGCAACCCTAACAGGGATAAGTGGAAGGAAATGGATAGATTGTGGCCACCGTTCTCTAGATGAACTACTGTGACAGATCCTCTACTCTCAGCCCAGATTTCCCCATTGTGCAGGAGATCAGAATAACCAAATGTCTCAAAACTAGCTTTCAAATCATTATCAGGTCACCTTTGTCACCTGATAAAAAGTAGTTAATAAGAAACCACTAATGCTGTGCAACACATGAAATCAATAAGATATCCATCAGGAAGTCAAGGCTGGGCAGGTTCTCTGTTGAACATCTACTGTTTACATCAGTGTGAACACACACATATGCAGTTTCACTTTATTCAAAAGCTTCTTTAATGAATTTGGTGATGTTACATTGAACGACTTGTTAATAGTGAGTTTCTCTGCATTACGCATTTGTGGTTGAAGTGATGATGCATTCACTGCTCACTTCTCTATTCATTGCAACTCTTAAAGCTTTGTTTCTTTCATCAATGATATTTGACTACATTTGTGTGCCTACAATACTGAACTGTTGAAAAGGTTAACTCATGCATCATAAAACTGCATTTTAAGCATAGTTATGGCCTTTATGAGGAAGTAGCAAACAAAAGTCTGACTCTAGCTACGCATTCATGACCTACAGGCACGCCAAAGCTATTATTATTGTGGTTGTGCATCATTGCGATATTGTGTGGAAGAATTCTAAAATGAACGTAGCAACACAATATTTACACTGCCACTTAGTTTTAACCAGTTAATACAAAACCAATGATAGGTTTGTAGCTTGAACCCATCCGCTGGAACGTTAAAGGCAATACAATTACACTGCAAAGCAAGACACAAGTAGGCAAGCTTCTTCATGTTTCTCGTGCACGGGAGAGAACCGGACAGGCACCGTTCCTTCGCTTGACCCCAGTTGCTCTCGTCCGTTCTCCCGTACCACTGTTCTTTTATTGAGGTTACATGAATATGCATAAGTTCATTAACATATGACGTCTACATACACACAAAGAGTACCTTGCCTGTGTGTGTGTGTGTGTGTGTGTGTGTGGACTGCTGATCAAAGGGTCAAACATCCTTGGTCAGGAAGAGGGTAGCCTCCCCCTCACCCTAGATGGTTCATCCTAGATAACACGGTGAGGAAGTCCTGCAGTTCATCTAAACAAAGAGCACTTAGACTAGAACAGACGCAACTACGTTAATCCTACCATAAAACAATAAGACACGGTATGACCTCTCATGCTCCCAAAGTGCTGTCTAATACACACAAAGTTTGCAGACTATCAAGGATCAAAACCTCTACCAATCTACAACTAATTACAAAACTCTAAGCATATATAAGTAAATATTTCTAAGCATAAATGACAATCAACAATACAAATCTAACAACCAACACTAATAAAGTAAACTGAACAAAAAGTGGAATAAACCTACAGAAATATAGAATACTAATAAAAATATCTAACTAATGTCAGGTGATATCTGTAAATAATACTTGTATCTCTTAAATGGTGTAAGTGAGAAGGTTTACATGAAAAAAGAAGAAATTATGTTCGGAAAACCCGAAAAAGGATCTATAAATAAAGTTACTGTTGTTGGCCAAACACTGTCATTAGTTTCATGTTGTTCTTTGTACAGTTGTAAATCACCTGAATGGTTTCAGAGGTGGAACATTTACTCTCTGCAGATTATTTTATTTTGAAAAAAAAAAGATTCCCTGTGCGTTTCCTGTGGCCTACTCATCTTCATCCTGCAACGTCTGTTTCAGAGCTCAGCAGAGAAGATTCAGAATCACACTTTGGCACATTCAAGCAGCGCCTTTAAATATTATCTGAGCCTAACTATAACACAGCAGGTTTATTGCTGGAGAGTCTAGTTCAAAAGTCATGAACAAACTGTGTCACGCAATAACTATCTGCATTCTTCACTGGGAGACACTATTGTGCCATAGTTTCTGAAACAATCCGGTTGTTCAGTCTGACGTCACTAGCCGTGTCTGGGTCTAAACTCCGCTGCAGGTCCATATATCAAACGATCACTATGGCATTACTGAGAGTTGAAAAACTGTCTAAAGTCTTTCATCTTTAATAAAATGATCAGCGTTCTGCTCTACCAGGTGTAACAATTGAGTTTAACATCCAGGCATCCATGAAAACGGAATTTATGACATTTAACGGAGTTAGAAGTTAGCAGGGAGTTAGCTCGCTAGCTTCTATCTAAATACAATATAGCATGTCCTGACTGCGGGGTTTTGGAAACAAATTAAAACATACAGCTCTGCTATCACTCCCAGCATAAATGAAGACAGAAAACTAAACAGCAGTGACGTTTGTAGGGTTACTGAAGTTGGGCTAGCTGGTATATAATGATGTGCTACGTGACCGCTAGCGACACAGCTATGTTAGCATAATATAAACAAGCTAACTTTTTTTCCACTCGATAAAATTTAACGTGAGTGTTCTCGGTGGTCAGGAACAAATGTAATCGCATGGCAGGATGCTGTAAAAGGACCAAACTTCAGCCAGGAGAACAACTGAGATAATCCATCCACAATACGAGTTAAGTCATTCATATACTGCTGCATGGGCTGGGCTGTAGCTACATCCTAAGGTTTTAAAAACTGAGCTTAAATAAATGATTAGCGGTAATAAAAGCCGAGGGAGGTCAACAGTGATCACTGACTGTTTTAGGAGCTTTTTGAGATCAAATAGAAGAAAATACATAACATTGAAAATGTTAACAACACAAAAGCCATATTAAACGCAGACTACTTTAGACCCGGAAGTAGGATTCGTCGCGTCATCACTGAACAACCGGATAGGAGTTCTTTATGACTCTGTTATTTATAGTTCATTCCTTTTCATGAGCAATCAGAGGGTTTCCTTTTCGTCACCAAAAGGGATGAACTAGGAATGAAGAGGGAACTCCTTCCTTGGTAACCAAACAAAGTAAACACTGAACAAACAGCGACAGCTCGTTCCACTGGTCTTAGTAGATCTGTGCTCTCTCCCAGTCTAATCTTTCTCTGCCACAGTGATTTTTTTTTAACCGTAAGTGTCAAAAGAATCCTGTTCACTTATTGTCAGCAGTTCAGTTTTCTGGATTTGCATGTTTGAATCCGACTGTTGTGCGAACCCATGAAAATTTGCTGATAAAGTGAACACAGCTGGAAACTTTGAGGAAACAGAACAACAACACAAGTAACTATACTGTAACACATATTTTAATCATGAATGGCTCCTAAACATGTTAGCAATGAATAAGTTGGTCATAAAATCATTGAGGTCAGGTGATAACTGTGGATGTGTCACTGGGAGTGGGACTGATACCGTCTCAGTGTGTTAATGATAAAGGTGAGAGGTCATCCCTTCTTGTTTGTCGTCTTTACCTTACAATATAAAGCACCTTGAGATATAGATCTATCTATTCATCTATATCAAGGTGCTTTATGTTGTAAGGCAAAGCCCATGCAAAACAGTTCTGCAAAAACTGGTCATAAACTCACTGAGGTCAGGTGATCACTCCCAGTGGATCTGTCACTGGGAATGTTAGTCATCCCATGTGACACAGTTTCATAATCATGGTTTACGTAACACGTCTGATGTCAGCAGAGGGATTCCGTCTTGCTTCATTATGCAGGGTAAACCCTACAAACAAACACAGGTAACACTTTAATGATGGGTGTTGGTTGGTGTTGACGGAGATCTGTTGCTGTTCTCACGTCACTGCTTTGTTTTCTTCGCATGTTCATTCTCCAAAAATGTGACTCAGATTCTCAAATTCATTGTTTGCTTTGTTTCCAACAGCAGTTCTATGTTTCCTTCCACATTATTACTAAAACGCACTTATGTGGATTTGAGTCCAGCTGTTGTGTAACACGTGAACTGTTCTGTATTGCAGATAAAGTGAACCCTGCTGTCTCGTACACTGACATTACTGCCACACAGGAAGTGAAACCTCGTACGTTCAGAGGTAAGAACATAAAAACTCACTCACATACTCACAGTTCTCTTTTTTATCGCAGGCTTCTGTCTCTGACTGAATTTAAAGGCCTCTGTGATATAAAACTGTAAATAATGAGAATAAAAACAATCACCAGCGTTCACATGAGATTTTAAACTAAAGGACAAGCTGCACTAAACTTTAGTTCTCACAGCATAAACACTGTAAACTCACTCTGTCATTTCCTCCACTATGTACTGAAGACTGTGTGAAGTCATGTGCATGTTGTTGTTATCTGCCTAGAAACAGAAGACCTCTGCACTGTCACTGGTTAACTGTCACCATAGTTACAAACATAATGCTTTAGCACGTGCTCCAGACTCCGCCCTCTAGTTTTACTGTCAGTCAGCTCCTGCTGTTTCACTCAGAGACGCCCAATTGTATTTATGGTGATAAAACTGACATGCTCAGAGTTTCTGCACAGAGCTTTTATACTGAAGGAGTCGGCTGCCTTTTCTTTTACTATGACGTAAACACAGACTGGAGAGGTGCTGTTTTATAGGCAGCTACAAATGTTATGTAACACTTCAGGCTTTTGTTTATGCTGTTGAAGAACTAACATCCTGTGGGTTAAAAAAAAAAAGCATGCAGACTGAGCGTGGGAACCAAAAACACAATAGTTAGACAATATATGGAAAATATGTAAGTATATTTATAAAAAAACAAACAAACAGACAAACATGGTGTTTCCCTTATTGTTCACAATCTCATAAATGAAAATAAATGGCCTACAATCCTTCATATCCGAAGCCTGATGCTGTCTGTTGTGTTTCTCTTCTGTTATTGTCAAGAAAAGACACATTTCATAAAAATAGTTACCGTCAGCAAATCTTAGAGACACTGTCCTGCTGCCAGCAAAGGTTTGCATGAATAAAAAATGTAATTAACAGTCTTTAGTAAAAATATTTTGCCTGTCCTGTTTTATTGCAGGTCAAATATCAAGTTTACTGTGACATTTTCAGGGATTTTCACTTTGTGTCTGAACAGAATAAAATAGCTGCATCTTCACAAACTGAATCCTAATGTTACTGCTCATTCAGTGTCATCATTCTGCATTACTTGAAATGTATAAAACAGTGAGAACACACACTGTCCACGCTCAGTTAACATGTGACAACTTAAAAATATATTATTTTTCCACAATGAGCACACTCCTGTCTGTGCTACCATGGTGACCAGGACAAACCCAGTAACCAACTTAAACCACTGACATGGTGTTGTCATCAAACATGAAGGGAAAAAAAAACAAACTCAAATGAGCTCAGCAACAGATCTGAAACAAAAGGGTGGGACAATGTTACATGACAGGCCCTGCAAAACATACATTAGGCATTTACTGCTCCACATTACCTAACCAGGCACGCCCACTGCAGACAAACACAACTAAGCTCTCTAAGGTAAAATCACACAGAGGCTAACACAACATCCTCCTCGCCTTTTTCGAGCCATAAACTTTATGTTTTAACATTTTATTTTCAGTAGCACAAGAATTGTTGCTTCGGTGATCAGATGTGTTTGAGCAATAAAAAAATAAAACTGTTAATGATAAAGTTCAAAACATGTGAAACACAAGATTTCTGGATCATTTTCTACAGGTTCACAGCACCAACAGTTACACTTACAATCCTATTCTTATGTTCAATACAAAAATCTAAACACCATATTTTGACTTTAAATTGTTATCAATGGTAAATTGTACCTTTAGAAAAATCTATCACTGCAGATATTTTTAGCTGCAGAAGCAGGTAACATCCTGATATTAATGAGAAAAACCTGAGCCCTGGATTTTAATACACATATGGTCTTTGAGAGCAGCGGTTGAGATGTGTAAGGCACATGTAGCCCTTTTCCTACTCGACTGGACGGGGCTCGAATCTACTCAGTTTCAGTGGTTTTCCATTACAACTAAGTAGCACCTAATCCACAACGGGTCTTTATAGCTGAAAACCCAGTGATGTCATTGTGACACAAACAACACGACAATCAAGGATGTTGTTCTTTTTTTTCATGAGAGAAAATGAATTTGCTCCAATTATAAGTTTTCACAGTTTCTTATCAAATGGTAAGAATTTAAAATTAGTTTCACATGGCGCCATAGACCTCGGTCTCTCTGGCTCAGAGACAAAGGCTGCCACAGCCTGGCAGTAAACACTTCTTATTGTGGGTCACAGAAACTGAATATTAGCAACATCTGATGCCTGATATCAGCTCATGTTTCTTCTTCTGCACCTCTCTGGACATCAGCCTTATATGCTATACTTTCTGCTCCATCTGTGCCTTTTTGTCAGACACGAGGACTACTGTGTTGTCTAAAATGTCTATGCTAATCGGTGGCATGCAGTCTGTTGACATTGACGTTTTCAGATCAACTCACATTGTAAATATTTACATTACTGGGAAACTGCCTTCATCCAGCTGCCGGTAAAAGTTCAACCATTTAGAGTTATTGGTGCTGGCTGTTACACTCATTGTCACACTGCAATTCAATGAGCTCCAGCTGCAGTTGATACGGAGCATTATCACGGTCGATGGAGTAGGGGGAAGAAGAAAAAATAGATGTTTTTCAATAGATGTAATATCCTGAAACTGTTCAATAAACTCCACAATACACCGTCCCATAGCTGTCACATTCCACGTCACTTGTGCAGTGATGATGTCCTGTGGAAAACTTTCTAGCACCTTACGCAGTGCTGGAAAAGCTGCAGCTTAGTTTCGAAGGCTCTGATGTGCACATAGAGCTGGTTTACCACCACATCCTTCCTTTTGTGCAATGCTTGTCCCATTTCAGCCACAAACTGCCCAATTTTCTTCCTCAGAGGACAAAAAACCCCAAATCCCCGTAGTGCAGGTCTCCCACTGATCATTCTTGTGACATATTACATCTCCATACTCAGCTTGATGGTCGAGCAGGGACTGCTGAAACTGGCTGTGGTACAGGACTTTGGAACAAACTGACTGAATGGTCAGAGAACAGAACTTACTGGTGAATCATACGGTGAAGTTTAATAAGGTTGCCTCCTTCTTCCTTTTGGTCCATATTGAGATGAAAGCATCACACAGATGCTTTAGACACAAACAAACACTGCATTGTTGTCTAGAAGCAGAGATCATTGCCGCCTCCATGTAAAAGACTTCACACAGAGAAGCAGAAATCCCCCACCACATCCGTGTCATCACTTTTAACACCTTTGAGAGATGAGACTGACGCCAACCTTTCAGTATTAAATTAATTAAAAGGGAAAAAATGCTTTCACTGCTTTCAGTTTGAACATTTTCTGAACCTGTCCTCTCTCCACAGATATGAACTCTGAGGCGTCCTTCTACTCAACACTCAGTCTGGCAAACATGTGCCAGGAAACACCTAAAGACTCCAGATTAAGTGTTTAAGCTTTTTATTTATTTATTCTTTGTATTAACGTGAAGAAATGTTTGTGGAGATTTCAAAGAATTTTCTTCAGCAGCTAAAATTTCTTGACATTTCTTAAAATTTGCACAAATCTGTCATTTTGTCACTTTCGGTCAGTTCATATCTCTTTGCAGTTGGGTTGTATATGAAATGATTGTTGTTAGTCTTTGTTGGAGGTGTGTTTACTTCAGTCATGTTACATTTTCATTTTTTTTATTGTTAAGAGTTTGTCTTTGTAGTGTCTTTGTCTTTCTTCGTCATTTTTTCCAGCGGTTTTGTAGATATCACTCTTATTTCTGTTTGTTACTTTGAAGCAACCACAAAGAGCTTGAGTAACTTTGAAGTTTTTTTGTAGTCCTAGTGGTTTTTTTGTTGGTTTGTTTTTTTGCTTTTTAAAATTTTCTGTCGAACATGTGATGTAATTTAGCAACATTGTACCAACTTTTTTCGATTTAAAGTTTTCTTTTTCTGATTTTATCTTTCTGTAGTCCGTTTCTCTTTAGAGTAGCTGTTCATTGCTCTGCAGCTTAGGGCGTTTGCATCTCTTCATCGTCTTTTTTGTGTGTTCTTTAATACACTGAACACAACTTCTGGCTCAGAAGTTTTGCTGTAAGAAAACTTTCAGTTACCCAAAAGCAAAAATGTGAATGCCTTGATTTGGAAATCAGTGCTTGTAATAGGCCTTGTACTTTCTGTTGCTACATTCACTGATTTTGTCTTGTTATGATAGTAATGTGATCTTAACGAACAATAAAACCACCAAACCCAAGATATAGCGCAAAACCTTTTTGTTGTTTTCACAGAAGGAAGAACAGTCCATATCTTTGTTATCGATATCTCTCTGGGACTCTCCCTATTAGGCCAGAGTCTGGCTGTATCTTGTCTTTGAGCGGCTTTCTCTGTCTTTTTCTCAAGTAGAAGTCTTACTACATAAATAATGGATAACACAGATTACAGCTTGCACTGCAGAGGAATTAATTAAAGCATAAGCAATTTTGTGTTTTATAATGCTTTATTTATCTGTATTTTCTTATACTGTTTTTGTTGCAGCTCTAGTGTTCTGAAAGGTCATATAACACCAGTAAGGGGGAGACATACATACAGGTGGGACAATGAGTGATTCGGTGAAACTAAATTTTAGTATCACAACTAAAGGAAGGAAACCCTTAAGTTATTGTTAGTGTTTATGTCATGGCACCTGGGTCTGTGACCCAGGGTTTTGAGTTTTGTGAATGTTGAGGAATCTTCTAGTTTGTTATCCTTAGATTTCAGTTCCATGTTTTGCATATGTTGTCATTCAGTTTTTTGTTAGTATGTGGTTAAATTATGTATGTACCAGCTCACACCTGGTGGCCGATTGGCGGGGCCGGGCGCCTGTGGCCCGGCTGGGCTCCTTCCAGGGGGTGGGATGCCTTCAGGCCTCTGGGCCTGAAGCTCGGTCCTCTCTGGCACAGCTGGCTGCCGGCAGAGCCCGCGGGCACGCCACCCCCTCTGGCCTCTGCTCCGTAGCTGCGGGGTGACCTCTCCTTTGGGGCTCTACTCAGCTCTTCCCAGGAGGGTGGCACGGTTCCCCCCCTTTGGTGGTCCTCCTCAGGTCCTTGTACTCTGGGGCCTCTGGATATCTGGGGCCTGGATCTCCTCCTTACCTGCTTCATACCCTGGTGGACGGGGCTATGGCCCCCCCACACTCCCTAGCAGATCGTTACATGGAGAAACCTGTGGAATGCAAGCATGCTGATCCACACAGGTATGCACACAGGTGTACACAGACGCGGACTACACCTTTCTTGGCTGCTGCCTCAAAGCACATTGTGTGCTGTCTATCTTGCGTGCTGCACAATATCGTTTATTATTTAGTATCTACTGTTATCTACTGCTAGCTAGTTTATTGTGATGGTGCTGTTTTTGTTTTTTTTATTATGTTGCTCTTTGCTGTTTGGTTTCTCTTCTGTTGTTTTTTCTCCATACAGGTGATCCAGGTGTGGTTTTTTTTGTTTTCCTTTCTTCCCCCCTTCTCTTCTCCCCTTTGGTTTTCTTTCTCTCCCTCTCTTTCTTTCATTCTTTCTCCCTGTCCTATCCCACAGTCATGTCTGTCCTGTTTGTAGCAACTGAAAATAAGATTAATTCATAATTATAATAAAGGTCAATCAAATGGACCAATATGGCAAGGCCATGATGATCCACTTGGTAAAATAAATCCGCTTGGCATCTTTCTTGGCCTTAAGACAACAATTCTGATGGCTAAAGATCCAAACGGGACACAAAAAAAACAACAAACAAAAAAAAGTATTTGGTTAAATTCTCCCCATCCTTTTGGGTCTAGTTTCTTGTGATTTGTGTGTCCCTGTGAAGTTAGTCTTGTCTCATGTTATTTGTCTCCCTCCTCTGCCATGCCTGTTTATGAATGTCAAGTTCGGTCTCACTCCTGTGTCCATATATCGCGTGGCCAGAGACAGAGCCTTGAGGAACACCACAATCAAAATGTGCAACGGAGGAGCTTGTAGAGGAACTGCCTATGGACACAGAAGGTTTTCCATTTCAGAAATAAGAATATAACAATTATTATAGAGCATTATGATCTCTACAGGAGATCATAATGATTGACTGAAATGTGACATTCAAATTTGAAAACGCTCAAATAAAATGGTGATCACAAAGCAAAACACTGCAAACATCTTCAAAATAAATCATATGAACATGTCTCCTTATATCTACAGTAGCACAAACATACTAGATCACACTCATTTCCCATTGCATTTTAGATATTTAATGTTTTTCCTTTCATGATAAAGAAAAAGCTGCTGTGAGTAAGAAAGAAATCTGTCAGCGCGACTCTTTGGACTTGCACTGTGAGAAATAAATGCAGTGATGAAATATTTAGAGTTTCACAATAGAAGAAAAGATAACATCTAGACAGGTGAGATCTGAAAGATTTTTTGTTGTTTTTTCTTTTAGAGAAGCTGAACCAAATGAATCTTTTCATTATCACTGGGGCAGCACAAGGCTTTGTGTGATCAGTCATCTGTACAAGGACTGACCTTTGCCTGCTGTCGTAAATGCTGAACTTCTAACTATTCCGGCATGTTAGAAATGCATTGTTGGTATAATTACAGCCTTAGAAGAAAACAGATAGAGCCCATACGCAGTTGGATACGTATGGGCTCAAACTGTGGTCATAAATATTTTGTACTTGTAAATCAGGATTTGTATGTGTAAAAAGAATTTGTGTGGGTGTAACCCAAAAATACCTGTGAAACTCAACACACAAGTTTCAAGTTTTTTGATCCTTTTTTTCTTCCTTTCAGCTGATTGGTCAATGTCATGCCAATCACAAATTTAACTATCCAGTCAGAGAACAGATGGGTTTGGCTGTCGGAGGGGCGTTTTTTTGAACTGCAGGTCCATGAAGGGTAATACAGTTTGAAGCTGGAGGATCTCTATATAAATATCCGATAGAAGCTAGGTCCCCTAACTTTCAGCAGCTGTTAAAAGGATAAAGTTGTGGCATATCAGTGGTTAGAAATACCATTATTACTTTAGGATTAGTTTAACACAAAGTCAGGGCTGACCCGGGACCATTGCTGTGAGTCGCAGTGAGCAGCATAAAGGTCCTTTCACATCGGACACAGGATGTGCTGCTAATGCTAACTGCTAACTAAAAGCCAAGGATCCAGAATTTTTAAATGTGGATGAATCCACTGCGGAAAACAGTTATATGCATCATCTGGGAGAACTAGTGTTCAGCTGTTTAAAGAAATTAAAAAGCTACACATAGACGTAAAAGACAATTGTATTCATTACACAAACAAATGCTGCTGAATGATAATTTTAGAAAGGGTGGTGGTGATGTGTGCAGAAATCCCCCATCATAGGCGTGTGATCTACTATAACACCTCTGGCACAATGAGACTAAAGTGGGTGTATCATCTTGATCTTATCTAAGGGGAAAAAACACTCTTGGTATTTATGCCTACTGGTTATTTATAAAAATTATTCCGTATTACTTTCTTGGTTTCATTCTGGTTTATTTATCCCTGTTTTTTTCCTGCTTCCCTTGTGTTTCTGTGTCTGGTTCTGTGTTTATTTACCTTTCTGCGTTTGTGTCAAGCTCATCCTATGGTCCATGTTTCAGAAGCATGGTGGGATAATTCAGTTAGAAATTAGTCAAAATAATTTATGGTTGATTCCATCCTATCAGAGTGGAATTTTGGGGGGAACCTATTAGGGTGGAAATTCTAAAGACAGAGCAATAATTATTATTGTTATCATTAATTATTAACAAAGAGAGGGAAGATAGTCAGAACTGAGAGGACCGAACTACCAGAAGGCAACATTGCAGAGATAATGGACAGCTACAAGTACCTGGGGATCCCACGGGCAAATGGGAACCATGAAGAGGCCGCTAGGAAAGCTGCAACCACAAAGTACCTGCAGAGGGTCAGGCAAGTCCTGAGGAGTCAGCTGAACGGTAAGATAAAAGTAAGATAAAGGTAAAAACAGGATCTGGGCTGTCAACATCAAAATCCTTGCGACAACATTTCCACACTCTTAGGGTTTGGTATGTTCTTGACAGCGTTTGACTTGGTTTTTTTGTGTTTACACGTGGACGGAGAGATTCTTTCGAAACTGCCTGTGTGGACAAGATTTCCTTTTAAACAAAAATGGAAAATCTCTGTTTTCATAAATACCCGTGTACGTGAGGACGTAGCCTTAAGTAACAGGAAAACAAACCATCTTCGTGTGTAATCATTTTATGTTTAGTTGTTTTTTTCCTGTGTGATAACATTCAACGTTTGGTTTGGACAAACCAGCATGTGCTTCCCATGCAGGGGGAACATATTCGGCGATGCTTTATCTTCTGCTTTGCGTTTCTGTGGGAGCGCCGTCACAAACCTGTCCATTATGCTAGCAGTGTCCTGAACAGAACGAGCTTCAGTGAGGGGTGGCAATCTGCCTTAACCGGTTGGGGTGAAAGGATGGATACAGGACACAGACATGTTGTGGAAATGTGATTCATAATAACGAATGGAGAGCGGTGTGTAAACACGTGGAGTAAAAAGGAGACTGAGGAAGAAATGGTACATCATGGGAATCTCCCGGCAGCCTACGTCTATTGCAGCATAACTAAGGGAGGATTCAGGGTCACCTGGTCCAGCCCTAACTATATGCTTTAGCAAAAAGGAAAGTTTTAAGCCTAATCTTGAAAGTAGAGATAGTGTCTGTCTCCCGAATCCAAACTGGAAGCTGGTTCCACAGAAGAGGGGCCTGGAAACTGAGGGCTCTGCCTCCCATTCTACTCTTAAATACTCTAGGAACAACATGTAGGCCTGCAGAGCGAGAGCGAAGCGCTCTAATAGGGTGATATGGTACTACAAGGTCATTCAGATAAGATGGGGCCTGATTATTTAAGACCTTATATGTGAGGAGCAGGATTTTGAATTCAATTCTGGATTTAACAGGAAGCCAATGAAGGGAGGCCAAAACAGGAGAAATATGCTCTCTCTTTCTAGGACCCTCTCAGGATTAGCTGAAGGCTTTTCAGTGAGTTTTTTGGACATCCTGATAATAATGAATTACAGATCCAGAGCAAGTATCTGGTTAGACACTGTGTTTCTAAAAGTTTAAGGCCGAGTATTATAACCTCAGATTTATTTGAATTTGGAAGCAAGTAACATGCTTCTTCACTGTAATTTAATAGTCTTGTTCTTTCTAAATTTCACAGCTTTTCTTTCTGTATTTATAGACGTACTGTACATTCCCATGA